AGTTGTCTCTGAAGATTCAAATAGTTCTTAACATAGAGTAATTCAGAAAAACAGATGCAAAAGAAAATCTCCATTTGTTGGGAATTTATTTTAATCATTAGGAAAACCTAATCTTTCTGGATGGGCAGCATATAAAAATAGTAGTCCCAAGGAGGGGACAGTATATACTACCTCACTACTACACTTGAGATGACTGGTTCAAACACAATGGAATGTGTAAGCTAAATGTTTTATAATTGTAATACTTTCAGCCATGAAGGAATATTTTTGCAATTTCATTTTCCTTCAGAATATCTTAGAGTGCTAAATTTTTCAACTGCCTATTTGTTGAGTTAAATTATAGGACTCTAATGTGTATTAAAATTGTAAGCCCTCACTGGTATACTGTCTTCGTGGAGGGGTGTTGTATGTCTGCAGGTAGAGAAAGTGTGTGTATGTATGTGTGTGTGTGTGTGTGTTTGTCTGTCTGTCTGTATAAGAGGATGAAAGAGCTGTTGCCCTAATGGCATATGAAGAATGTCTGGACCTTCATTTCATAATATAATTCTTACATAATCATTTTCACATACTTGGTTTCTAATCATTGTGATTATTTTTTTTTTCAACGTCTAAGAAGACATAAATTTGGTTTGTTGATCCTATTGTAGAGTTAATTTTTAGGTTTTAAATGTTATTTATGTCTTAACTGAAAATAATTTTTCCAGTTAACATGCTCTAATTTTTTCTTTTATTTTAAAATGCTTACCTTTGAAGATAAGGATAGCCTTGTTTTCTCTGTGTGGTTCAGCTACTTTCCATTTGGTATTATGCACTCAAATGACATTTATCTATTAAAATTGCCATTTTTATTAAGCATTTTTCATGCATAGTAGTCAAATTATTTCTGAAAAGATTTCTTGTGCTTTTTTGATTTTGCTTACTTTAAAAAGGATTAATCTGGGCAGACATTATGAAAAGGAAAGGTGTTGCAGTTAATATATTTTTTGAACTTGTAGGACAAAAGATAACTGGCTAGCCTTGAAGTGACTGATGTACATTGGTCACGCATATTCTTCAAACTGTATGGAAGAAAATACTTGTCTCTTCAGCTCATCAGAGAAATAGTGGTGAACTTTGTGAACCTTGCAATTTAAGCTTTGAAGCATAAGTTTTCACTTTTCCAAAATATCAAAGCAATTGCCATTAAAAACGAAAACTTAGACTTCTGAATTTTTATTCCTTTTCTTCCATTTGAATTGTGTGCGCTATCATTGCTACATCGGTTTGATATCAGTGTTGAAAAACTACCAGTTATATTTGCTGTTTATAATCTGTTTGTAGATTAGCATAAAATGGATTTGATCCATTTTCAAAGCTGTGTGAATTTTTCTTAAAAGAAACAGCCATTTGTAATATGGGATTTCATAGTTATTAAACCAGTTACAGCTTTTATCATTAGCAGAGAGAGCACATGTTTATAAAGCAATGTAAAATTACGTTCATGAATATTTGGTAAATCCCAACAGACTTTATTTTACCATTAGCATAATTATGTGTTGTATAATTAAATTACGTCTATAATTTTGGATCACATTCATTGGTTAACAATAAAGTGACAAAAAGCTCATTCCTTCAAGGTCCACTGTTGTTATTTAATATGGATCCCTTGCAGATAATCCTCAAAATTAAAATCTCAGAGCCATGAATTATCACATCTTAATGAGAAATGGATAGGAAAAATTTCAAGTCAATTTAAATTCTTCATAGGCGCAATCCTCCTTCCCTCAAGTTCTCTGTCCTGATATGGTAGTGTTGTTGGGGTAGTAGCCTTTGAGTCTGCTCCGACTTAGGAGTTCTGCCTTCTACAGAATGAAACCCTACCTGATCCTGCACCATCCTCACAATCTCTGCTGTGTGTAAGCCTGTTGTCACAATCCTTATGTCAGTTCATCTCATTGAGAGTCTTCCTTGCCTTCACTGAACCTCTGTATTTCCAAACGTAATGTCCTTTTCCAGGGACTAGGCCCTACAACATACCCAAACTATATGAAACAGCGTCACCATCCTCATTTTGAAGGCGCAAGGCTGCAGTTCTTCCAAAAATGATGATCTCATTCTTTTGGTCATCCGTGGTATATGCTTCAGAATTCGTTGCCAACACCACAATGCAGAGACTTCAGTGCTTCCTTAGTCTTACTCGTGTTCGATTTTCACTTGCTGTTGAAGTAATTAAAAATACTATGACTTAGATCAGGTGTACCTTAGTTTTTAAACTGGCGTCCTTGTTCTAATGATTGATAATTCCATGGAAAAATTAAATTGACTTCTTGACAGCAGAAAATCACTGAAGAGTTTTTTGATTATTGCTTTTATTGTATAGTGCTTAAGGGGTTTTTCCCCCCCTAAGGGAAATAGAATACTCTTGTCATTGATTCATTTCACTATAAAAATATTTCTATTCTTTAAAGATTCTTGTGCTTAAGTCTGTTTTTCTTAAAGCAGCATCCTAGGGTAGTTATCAGAAATTTAAAAGTTGGTGGTTTTGGGGGTTTTTTGGTTTTGGTATTTTGTTTTTTCGTTTTTTAAATTTTATTATTTGTGTGTGTGTGTGTGCCATCAAATCAGGTCTGGCTGGTACAGGCGAAGATTGCTCCTCCTGCTTCAGCAGAGCATCTGGTGGATCCGAACCATGTATCTCTGGGATTGCAGTGTAGCTTCTTGCCACTAGGCCACCAGAGCTCCAGAAGTTGTTTTTAAAGGCTTATAAATTTTAAACAATAACTTTATTTATTAATTTTTAGTAAATAAGTCTTAATAGAATTTAAAAGCCAAGTATCTTCTTAATTTGTAATACTTAACTGATGCGTTATTATTTCTTTTGTCAAGACCAGGTATTTAATTGGTTTACTCTCATCAAAAAGGAGGAAATTTTTTTTATAATAATATTTTCCTGTTTCATCAGAATTTCCTGTTTAATCTAAAACTACCACTTAAAGTTATCTATTGCTTTATTAGAACTACTCTATCATTAGAAAAGTATTATTATTGTGTTTAAAAAAATAATTCTCATGACTTTCCCAGTTTTATCACCTTGTTGATTGGTGATGATTTTAGAAATAAAGATGGTAAGATAAAAATGTCTCAAATCTAAATGCTAAACCTGTGTGTGCAGGTTAAACTTAGTCTTTTAAAAACAGAAGCTTGAAATGAAAACATACAGAATAACATTCATTAGCATTAATTATTGAATAAATTAATAAACCATAGCTTGATTAATAAGAACAGAGAAGAACATTTTAAATGTGTTAACACAGGTACGCCAATTTCTCTCTTTTAATTAATTCTGAATAAACAGAATTTAGCTTTTTCTAATTATGTTACGGTCATTCTAATTAGACGGTATCCTAATGTAGCTGGTCATGTAGAATGGTTTTAATCTAGTACATTTCAAAATCTTGGTGAATTCTGCAGATGTTTTGAGAACTTCATGAATTATGAAGACAGACACCTTGCCTCTAATCTGTTAAGTAGGAAAGGGGGGAAAAATGATACTGTTCATTATATCAAAGTTCATAAAATTTCATCTTTGACTTTTCCATTGAATAATCCTACATCGAGTTTTCTTTAGTGGACCTACTTCTTAATGCCCACATATCTTCTAATTTCTCTATGTCTACCTTTCAAGACTTTTTAGAGCTTCTGTTTTCCTCGGGAAGAATCACACCTCACTCCTTTGCTGGGTAACTTTGAGCTCCTTCAATCTTTGATAGAGGAGCTTTCTGATTTGGGACTACATAATTCTGTAGAAGCTGTAGGAGCTCTCAAAAGTAAAGCCATGAAGCACATAATTATGGCATACTCTTTAAGGTTTCTGGTTTATTACTGAAGTCCCTATTACTGTTAAAAAGAGTTCCGGGTTCTTTAATACCATTCCGAGAGTTAATACATTTTTATTAGGTACTTTTTCTATTCTACAACTTAGAAGCAAGACTAGAATAACTGACCCTTTGTTTTACTCCATCATAGCTATGAAAGTACCAATTTAAGGACTTGGTAATTTAATTTAGCTCTTAGATCACTTACATTAAACTATTATAATATCAGCTTCTTAAAAATAACACCATATTAATTGATGTACTTGTGTGCCCAGATTCCTCCGTGCTTGTGTCTGTCCACTTGCTTCCATCCATGTAATGTTATTTTTATTACCCTTTCCTAATTGCTTAGTTTCATGTGATAATCATTAAAAGTTTTAGATTAATTTTAATATTTTGCATGTTATTTACATAGCTTCTAAAATTATTAGTGTTACTGGTTTTAGCTTTTTTTTTTTACCAAAGCCATCTTTTTATTTAGTCAGATGGCCATTGTCATTGTGATAATATGGTATCATAATTTCTGAGATTTGTGTGACCTTGGAAAACCCTTTTGATTAAATGTGGATTTAGTACATAAAATGCAACTTTTACTATGTTTATATACTATAATAGACTTTTTTGGGTTTTTTCAACTTAAAATACTTTATCTCATGTTTCAGATCTAGAAATGCATGTCTTTAACTCATAAAGTCTGTCCCTTTTTCTCCCTTGTGTGTCAAATCTAACAAAGCAATTCTGAATGCCGTTGTTTTAGTCATATAATTATGTGTTTTTATATATTAGCTGTCTGGGCTAAAAGGCACAGATACCAAAGGAGGGAAATGGCTGTAAACGTTAGAAAGACCAAGAGCATTAAATTGAGTGACTGACAGGGAATAACAACACTCGGTACGTTTCTCAAGTACGCTTTTTCTCTGCCAAACTTTCCTTTTGATAACTCAAATTTGAAATACTTTTTCAATATTTAAAGATATTTAAATATTCTTTAATATTTAAAGATAATCTGAAAGATCAGATCCATGATTTTAAATTTTTCTAACCTTGTGGAAAACCCTTACTTAACTGACAAACCAGTCAAATATAACAATTGATAAATCCATGTTAACCATTGATAAGGTTAATAGAGCTGTTGTTATGTGTCATCGGGCCACTTGTAAAGAGTTAGAAGTTCAGTGAATCAAAGAGGAAAAATAGATAATGATAAGGAAAGTATTACTAAAAAGAAGGGCAGAACAAAGCCAGTTGGACTCTAGGGGTTTATGGAGCCTTGAATGTTGTTCTGATGTGGTTTAGTTTGATTTGAAACTATCCTGGATATTTACAAAAGAAGAATAACCTTGCCTAAAAATTCATGCAGCTGTTTAGCTGCAGACTGAAACATAAGTGATGATAGGAACACACCAATAGTTGCTGGGAGAAAAAGACTTGGTGATCTCCCTTTGAAGATTTTTGGGACAATTCTGTTCTGTTTCAGTCAGGGGCTATCAAGTTAATTTCTTTTTTAAATTTTATACTAGTTTCTTTACAATGTGGTTGGGGGGTTGGTGAGGGAAATTGAAAGAATCTGTTCCTAAAAACAACGTGTTCGAATTTTGTAAATGTCTGCGAAAAAAGCACAGAGGTAAAAAGGAAGCTAATAGAAGAAGGTTATATAATAGCCTGAAGGAGGCTGGGACTAGGGGAATGATTCCCCTGCTTTCTAAAAATTTAAACTTATTTTCTGAGGATTTAAAAGGAAATATGTCAGTATTGTTTGCTCTGTTGTTGTTAGGTGCCATTGAGTCACCCATGACTTAGAGTGACCCTATGTACAGTAGCTCTGAAACCGGCCCCATCCTGAGCCAGTCTCGCTGACTCTGACACCCCTAACTCCATTATCTTCAGTTACTGTGTCAGTCCATCTCATCTGGGATCTTCCTCTCCTGTGTTGTCCCTCCACCCTTCCAGGCATGATGTCCTTCTCCAAGCATCCTGGCCACGTGGCCAAAGTCTATAAGATGGAGTTTTTAAAATCCTTGCCTCCAAGGAGGAAGGATTTCACCTTTGTACCAAAATTTTTGTCTTATATTACTAATGACTTCTTTTGGGAATTGGGCCATATTTTATTTTCTTGTAACTCTTGTTTTTACAGAATTCTCAGATTTTTGGAAAACCAGAAGCAAATGTGTCTTAGATTATTGGATGTGATGTACAGAAGTAGAAAATGTGCCCTGTCACCTCTTTATTTCTGAATCATTCCACGTTACCTCTTAGACACTAGATTTGTTTCATGGTGAAATTTCAAAAAGTGCTGAAATATTAGGCAAGGAGACATGACTTTTATTCCTCTTTTCATAAAATGATAAAACATACCAGGAGTGTGTGTTTGTGTGTGTGTGTGTTTGTATGTATGTATGTTTGTGTACACATACATTTATAGAACCATTATTTAAACTATTTACATTATCATTTTTATTAAATGATAAACCCATGCCATTGCGTTTATTCTAACTCACAGTGATCCTGTATTTTAGACGAGAACTCTTGATAGTTTCAAAGGCAGCAAATCATTATGGAAGTGGACTCCCTGGTCTTTTCTCCTACCATTTGACTGGTGGCTGTTAACTGCCAACTTTCCAGGAAGCAGCCAACTGCTTATCCACTGATCCAGCAAGGATTCCTATTAACATAATAATTTCCCATTATTAGCAGAGCATAGTTTAAGACTTACGGAAGATAGGCAAAACCCTGTAACTGTCAAGGAAACTAGTTAAGTGAGGGAGTTGAGACATGGGCACAAATGTTGGTGTGTATTATCATCCGAACCAACTCATAGCTGGCCCTTCAGTGGGATTTCAGAGGCTGTAAATCATTAAGAGGAAGTTGCCCATCTTTCCCCCAAAGAGCTGCTAGGGGATTCAAACAAACTGCCTTTGGGTTGGTAGCACAAATTCTTTCTTTTTTTTATTTTTATTATTAAATTTTATTCATTTTAATGAACATTTACAGAGATTTTGGGTTTTCATTCATTCACTGATGCACGGTTATCCTCCCCAGTTCATTCTTTCCCCCCCCCTTGAAAGTCTGTTTTAATTGTCCATTGCCACACTGCTTGTCAAAACCAGTTCTGATTAATCTCCTTTGTCAGTGTGTCCTTTGCCATTCCCTATCACTCCTCCCTGAGAGAGACTTCACCCTGATTCA